TGTTGCTACACATCAAGGGCAAATTATGGTGCAATGGAGCCATCTTGATCGCAGGGACAATGACTTCCCCCATGCCTCCCCCATTCAACCTTCTTTATTTCTTCTGAGTTTAGCCACAATTTTGCAGCAGCTGGGAATAAATAGATATCCACAATAACAGCTATTTCTATAGTAATGCAATATGTTTAAGGATAACTTGGTCTTCAATGCTTCCTTCATTCATCTTCTAACCTTTCAAACACCAACCTCACAACTCAACTAATTATGGTTGCCTTAGCTTCTTCTTCTCCCCCCCCTCTGGCTCCGCCCATCTTCGGTTGCTAAGCAATGCCCTCCAATTTAATCAGCCAATCAGACTGCACTTCCAGCTATGAAGCTGCCTGATCGCTCCACCCCCCCTGCTCTCCTTAGCTTTTCCAAGCCAGACCTGTTTACTGCCTTTACACCAACCCTGTAAGGTAGGCTAATCCATTACAATCAGCCTTTGAGAGGGACCCCTAAAGAATCATAGAATCATAGAATCAAAGAGTTGGAAGAGACCTCATGGGCCATCCAGTCCAACCCCCTGCCAAGAAGCAGGAATGTTGCATTCAAATCACCCCTAACAGATGGCCATCCAGCCTCTGTTTAAAAGCTTCCAAAGAAGGAGCCTCCACCACACTCCGGGGCAGAGAGTTCCACTGCTGAACGGCTCTCACAGTCAGGAAGTTCTTCCTCATGTTCAGATGGAATCTCATCTCTTGTAGTTTGAAGCCATTGTTCCGCGTCCTAGTCTCCAGGGAAGCAGAAAACAAGCTTGCTCCCTCCTCCCTGTGGCTTCCTCTCACATATTTATACATGGCTATCATATCTCCTCTCAGCCTTCTCTTCTTCAGGATAAACATGCCCAGCTCTTTAAGCCGCTCCTCATAGGGCTTGTTCTCCAGACCCTTGATCATTTTAGTCGCCCTCCTCTGGACACATTCCAGCTTGTCAATATCTCTCTTGAATTGTGGTGCCCAGAATTGGACACAATATTCCAGGTGTGGTCTAACCAAAGCGGAATAGAGAATGGGTAGCATGACTTCCCTAGATCTAGACACTAGGCTCCTATTGATGCAGGCCAAAATCCCATTGGCTTTTTTTGCTGCCACATCACATTGTTGGCACACAACATATTTAGACAGACACAAATTATACTAATTTCACCTATGCATTTCCCTCCTACAATATTTGCAAGCCCTATATATCTACGTTTATAACTATCTAGACGTCTCTCTCTCCATACGTGTGTATGTCTGCATTTCCCCCTGCAATATTTGCAAGCCCTATCTATATTCATCTCTAGCTAGACATATCTATATATATATTTGTGTATGCATTTCTCCACTGTAATATTTGCTAGTTCTAAATATCTATAATCATATATATCTATCTAGACATCTTTATATATAGATAATTATATCTATATAAGATTTGTTATGACTTGCAAACATGTGAGGGGAAATTTCATATATAAATATATAGATAGATAACTAGATATAGATATATATCTTATATAGATATAATTATCTATATATAAAGATGTCTAGATAGATATATATGAATATAGATATTTATAACTAGCAAATATTATAGTGGAAAAATGCATACACACACAGAGATATACAGATATATATATGTACCTCTATATATTTATCGATATCTATATCTATATACGATTTGCAGAGATTTGCAGAGATTTGCAAATATTTGAGGGGAAAAGCATATATAAAAATAATGTATACATATAGATAATATATACATATATACAGGTACATGGAAAGCTCTAGATATCTATATCTATATATGGTATGCAAAGACCTGCGAGCACTTAAGGAGAAAATTCATATATAAAATTATATTGCAGATAGATAAATAGATAGAGATATATAGGTACATAGGGATTGCAAAGGCTTGCAGTGGAAATGTCTACATATCTGTAGGAAAGATTAACAAATATTTCAGGGGAAATGCTTTTATAAGACACACACAAACACATATAGAATCATAGAGTTGGAAGAGACCTCGTGGGCCATCCAGTCCAACCCCATTCTGCCAAGAAGCAGGAAAATTGCATTCAAAGCACCCTGACAGATGGCCATCCAGCCTCTGTTTAAAAGCCTCCAAAGAAGGAGCCTCCACCACACTCCGGGGCAGAGAGTTCCACTGCTGAACAGCTCTCACAGTCAGGAAGTTCTTCCTAATGTTCAGATAGAATCTCCTTTCTTGTAGTTTGAAACCATTGTTCCGTGTCCTAGTCTCTATGGCAGCAAAAAATGCAAAAAAACAAAAAAAAACTTGCTTCCTCCTCCCTATGACTTCCCCTCTCCTCTTGATATATGGCCCTCATCATGTCTCCTCTCAGTCTTATCTTCTAAGGCTAAACATGACAGCTCTTTAAGCCGCTCCTCATAGGGCTTGTTCTCCATACCCTTGCTCAAAAAGCCACGTCTTGACTTTTTTCCAGAATGTTAAAAAGGAGGGGGCTGATCTGATATTTCTAGGGAGGGCATTCCATAGCCGAGGCGCCACCACTGAGAAGGCCCTGTCTCTCGTCTCCACCAGACGTACTTGTGACGAAGTATTCTTGAAACTGTTGGGGATAGAGCAAGCCCTCCGTTCTGCATTTCACCCCATGACAGACGGGGCCACTGAGGGGACAAAAAAACTTTCAACAATTTTTACACTGTTGCAGTAATTATCAACAGGATGATTGCGTAGGTTTTCTACCTCTTTGCTGAGTTTTCTTATAATAACTTGCATCTAAGCCATAAGACTCAGAAATGAAATGTGTTTTGGAAAGGCAAGCCATATTTCCAACATGCAGTTTTGTCAGCAAAGCGACATAAAATGGTCACTATGACACAGCGGATACCAGATAAACCACATACATGTCTTTCTGGCATGAAGCAAGTATGTTTTTATTTCCGCTGGTTTTATTGAAGTTACATGGAAAGGTGGATACAACCAAATGCCATTAGAATTACTTTTGTCAAACTTTTATTACTGTCTGCATATAACATTTGTTCTTGTTCTCTCCTCTCAATTTCTTCCATTATCAAATTTATATTCTCTCGTTTCTTTTTAGGTTTTGCCTTCTGTTTTTCACTTTCATGGGGGGTCCTATGACCCTAACCAGAAAATGTGGATGTATAACTGTATATATTGTTTTGAAAAGCTGAATGCTAAAAAGCCCCCCCCCCAAAAAAAAGGAAACGCGTGTGTATCACCCACTTATCTATATTTTTAAACTGTATGTCCTTATAAAATGTATAAAACTTATAAAATTATTTTTTCTCAATAGAAATCTGATCTTCCATTTGAACCTGCAGCTGGGCGTGCACTTTAAGGAAAGAGGGCCATTCCCTCCTACACTGCAGAGGCCTACAGACTATGGAGTATACATTATCTCCGCACCCTTCACAAATGTTTCATCGGTACACCTTTCGGACCACAGTTCTTCTCACTCACAGAAGACAGAGACCTTATGAAGGCCATATGAGTTCTCTGGTGTCTACTCAACAGATGTCGCCAAGGAAAGCCTCTTCCATATTCAGGGCACAATAGGGGGTTTTTTTCCAGTTTGAATTCTCCGGTGGACAATCAAATGTGCGCTCTGTCGGAAGCATTTCCCACATTGAGAACATTCATAGGATTGCTCTCCAGTGTGAATTCCTTGATGGTTCCTCAAGGCCTTTCTCTTAGCAAACCTCTTGCCACACTGAGAGCATTTACAGGGTTTCACTCCAGTATGAAGTCTTTCATGTGTCTTTAAGCTAGATTTCTGAGTGAAACATTTGCCACACTGAACATTGATAGGGTTATTTCCGGTATGAAGTCTTTCATGCGTCTTCAAGGTCTTTCTTTCAGCATAACTCTTGCCACACTGAGAGCATTTATAGGGTTTCTCTCCTGTTTGAAGTCTTTGATACATCTTTAAGTTAGATCTCTGAATGAAACATTTGCCACACTGAGAGCATTTATGTTGTATGTCAACTTGTTCACCAGCCTGTGATTGCGTCTGATGCTCATGATGGGAATGATACTCATGATGATGTTCATGTTGGGAATGATGTTCATGTTGATTATGTAGATTGGGAATGGGGATAATGTTACTGATGGTGAGGGTTTGCCCAGGCCGGAGTTAAGTTCAGAAGAGAGGTCCAAGCAAGGACACATTTCTGGGAAAGACCTTTCACCGCTTTTCTCAGAGCAGCAGCCTGAAAATGATGCTGAGATTCTTGTGTCAGGTGCAGAAGGAGAAGATAGTGAAACCTTGGACAGAAAGCAAAGTTTAGTAAACAGAGGCAAAACTTTCAGAATCTCAGGCACTCTGCTCATTTACAGCAAATGAAAGAGAATAAACCCTTATTTAGTGGGAGAATGAGAAAGAATGCTTTCCTGGTGGTTTCGGCCTTTGGAAAGTGTTTATAATGATTTATGGGAGACTAATGCCTTAGCCGAGTCAATGTTGTTAATTCATGCTGGTTTTGTTTTCGAGTGCTCTATGTTTTATGTATCTAGTTGTTGCCAAGTTTAATTTTTTGACTGAGAGTTCCTGCTGTTTTGTTTCATGGTTTCAAGTTTGTGGCTTCATAGATTTCTATGTACTAATTGACCTGGTTTACTTCTAAGTTCCTGGATTTTCTTGGATTTTGGATTTTTACTGTTTTACTATTTTTTACTGCTTTCCAACATATATTCTACAATAAACTGGTTGCTGATTTTACCAAGCTGGTGTGGTGTTTCAGGTGCAGTACAATAATTTCTAGAGTTTCTCTCCGGCATGAATGATTTGATGAATCTTCAGGGTCTTTCTTTCAGTAAAACTCTTGCCACACTGACAGCATTTATAGGGTTTCTCTCCAGTATGAATTCTTTGATGGTCCCTCAAGCTAGTACTTCGAGTAAAACACTTGTCACACTGCCAGCATTTATAGGGTTTCTCACCTGTATGAATTCTTTGATGCGTCTTCAAGTTCTGTCTGTCAGCAAAACTCTTGCCACACTGAGAGCATTTATAGGGTTTCTCTCCTGTATGAATTCTTTGATGCTTCTTCGAGGTCCTTTTGTCAGCAAAACTCTTGCCACACTGAGAGCATTGATAGGGTTTCTCTCCAGTATGAATTCTTTGATGGACCTTCAAGCTAGAACTCCGAGTGAAACACTTGCCACACTGAGAGCATTTATGGGGTTTCTCTCCAGTATGAATCCTTTGGTGCCTCATCAAGCTGACTCTCTGGGTGAAGCACTTGCCACACTGAGCGCATTTATAGGGTTTCACCCCAGTATGGCTTATCTGGTGCCTCACCAGCTTCTCTTTCTGGCTGAAGCATTTCTCGCACTGAGAACATTGATATGGCTTTTGTCCAGTGTAACTTTGCTGGTGGATTGCCAGGTGTGCTCTAGATTTGAAGTCATTCTCACTAGTAGCACATTTATGCAGTTTCCTTCCTGTAGGAAAATGTTGAGATCTCTGCAAAGTCTGTCCGTGGTTCTTGCTTCCTTCTCCATCTTCAGCATCTTTCTTTCTTGAGTTCAGATCAGCAAACTCATCTGGCACATTGTGGTTTTTTCTTCCATACTTGGAGAACAAGGACTTCTCCATGTCTGTGGAGGCCTTGTTGTCGTCATCTATAAGGCCTTTGGTGTGTTTCCTCTCCATCTCCACTAAATTCTTCGACTCCTGACCTCTAAGCTGGTGTCTCCTCTTCTGAATGTTGGATGCCATAGGGAAACCCCTCTGAGACACTTCTGCTGGCAATGACTCCATTGGTATCTTCATCTCATTCCAACACTCCATTTCATCACCTGAAGAGAGAGAAAGAGGATATTTGTTTCTGTTCTGGCCACTAACATAAAATGTGTGTGCAGATTTGTTAAATGTGGATTTAATATGTGTTTGGTATGAATGTGTTTGGTATGAATGAACTGAATGAAAGGAATGAATGAATGAGAGCTAACAATTTTGGAAACACCCTTCTGAAGGTTAAGGCCTGCAATGTCTAAACCATTAACTCTCTGCTTGATGAATGGCAATTAAAACCTGCTAATGAGAACTGAAATGATTGACCTGCCCTAGTAAACTGTTATAAGAGAAATGTTTACATCTATTTACATCTGTCAACATTTGTTGACTGGAAACCGGATTAACTCAAAAGGAAATTATCTCTGGTAACGTTACTCAAAGATAATGCTCTTTTAAGTCAAAGCCAGAACACAATGGTTTGCTACCTGAAGACAAACATCTATGTCAGGGAGGTGCAGACTCCAGATAATTTCAACAGGACAATGATCTACAGCTTTTTGGAACAACATCAGCAGAATATTCCTATAAAAGACTCAATCTAATAATTCTCAAGTGTGACAGACAGCTGTACCGTTCACCTGCCATGTTCTATTGACAAAGGTGGCATACCTTTGGAATGTGTCAGATCTACTATGGGAAAAGCAGGATTCTGGACACTTGCCTCCTTTTATTTATTTATTTATTTATTTATTTATTTCAAACATTTTACCCCGCCCTTCTCAACCCCTAGGGCTTGGGTTCTCAACCTGGGCTCCCCAGATGTTTTTGGTCTACAACTCCCAGAAATCCCAGCCAGTTTACCAGCTGTTAGGATTTCTGGGAGTTGAAGGCCAAAAACATCTGGGGACCCCAGGTTGAGAATCACTGCCCTAGGGGGACTCAGGGCAGCTTCCAATTGGCAATAATTCAATGCCGCATCATAAAATACAAAATAGCAAATATAACAATTGAAAACATGAACATTAAGAAAGAAAGATTAAACAGTATACTTATGATCCATTTGGCTATTGCTAGTCTGTTGGCTATTTATCTAGCCATATACTAATGATTACTTCGCTTAACTTATCCAAATCCACTTCCAAGCCATAGTCAAACATTATCAATTGTCCTTTAACCTAATTGCCCGAAGGCCTGGTCCCACAACCACGTTTTTACCTTCTTTCTAAAGGTGAGGAGGGATGACGATGACCTAATTTCCCCGGGAAGCGAATTCCACAGGCGGGGGGCTACCACCGAGAAGGCCCTGTCCCTCGTCTCCACCAAACATGTTTGAGACAAAGGCGGGGCCAAGTGCAGGGCCTCCCCAGAAGATCTTAAGTTCGAAGGTGGGACATACCCTGGACTGAAGTGGGACAGGTACGCTGGACCGGAGCCGTATAGGGTTTTATAGGTCAAGACCAGCACTTTAAATTGTGCTCGGAATTGGATCGGCAGCCAGTGGAGCTGGCACAGCAGGGGGGTGGTATGCTCCCTGTATGACGCTCCGGTGAGTAATCTAGCTGCCGCTCGTTGGACTAATTGCAGTTTCCGAACAGTCTTCAAAGGCAACCCCACGTAGAGCGCATTGCAGTAATCTATTTGGGATGTGACAAGAGCGTGGACCACCGTGACCAGATCCGACTTCCCAAGGTACAGGAGAAGGTGGCGCACAAATTTTAATTGTGCAAAAGCTCTCCCGGCCACCACTGAGACCTGGGGTTCCAGGCTCAGCAATGAATCCAGGATCACTCCCAAGCTGCGAACCTGCGACTTCAGGGGGAGTGTAACCCCATCCAACACAGGCTGTAACCCTGTGCCCTGTTCGGCCTTACGACTGACCAGTAGGACCTCTGTCTTGTCTGGATTCAATTTCAATTTGTTAGCTCTCATCTAGCCCAACACAGCAGCTAAGCACCCCCTCTGGCTTCTTTTACCAGCCAGGATGGGCAGGGGTCTAGGATGCATGTGGTAGGTCTCACCTCTCCAAGGATCCTGTCCACATCCTCAAGCTGAACCAATTGAAATGAATCCAATAAAACCGGACAAGCAAGTACTCGTGTCACATCCTTTTCTCAAGGGAAGAGAAAGGAGTGTGATTCTGGAGTCATGATAAGCTTTCAAGGAGTCTGTTTCTGCTGTAGGGAAAACAGAGATCTGATCCATGGCATTGTTCTTAGGGAAAGAGGATGCATTTTGCTGTTTTGGAAGCTTTGGAACTGTGCGTTGGCACACTGCAGAGAAAACAGGGTCTAGCCTAAGCAGGCACTTCTCCTAGGAGGGAGAAAAGATATGGTCATATTTGAATGAATACATGATGATGAATGAATGTTTATATGTGTATGAATGTTGAGTAAAAATGCAATCCGCCTCCCATTGCCTGGGCTGGCCACTCCACCTGCGGGAACTTCTCCCACCACCAAGGGGGCTGCTGGGAAGAAGAAGCCCCTTCTGGCACAATGACTGAAGAGTGAAGTTCCCTCTGGCACCATGGTGGAGGAAGGAAGGCAAGGAGGGAAAGTGAGGAGGAGAAGGATGGCTGTGAGGGCGCAGGGAAACCCGCGAAACAGCGAGTCCGCGGTACATGAACCACAAAGCGGCGAGGGAACACTGTAGTTCATTTTACATGATTGAGCAAGCGTTTACAAATGCAGAGTAGCTAATATAGGAAATCGAACGATTTGACAATGGAACTGGACAATGCTTGATAATAATGAGACGCTAATGATGTTATTTTTATTGCTTTTGTGGTGTTTTATATTGTTTAATGTTTTAATCTGTATTATGTTTTTATATGTACTGATTGTTGGAAACCACCTTGAGTCGCCGATTGGCTGAGAAAGGCGGTATACAAATACAGCAAATAAATAAATAAATAAATAAATATTGCATTTTCTGCTCCCACCTCCCCAAAAAACATGGAAGTTCTGCTGAACCGCACTGTCTTTAAAACATCGACTGTGACTGAAAAACAACAGAACTTCAAATCAATCAATCTATTGCACTTCATGAAGAATATATATATATATATATACACATACATGTACATACACATACATACACGTATTATCCCGTTTGCCTTTTTCTGGCACCAGAAGTTAAAAGTAACTCATTTGACTGCACAAGTTTGTTTGTTTATATATTTACTATATTTGTATACCGTCCTTCTCAGTCCTTAGATGACTCAGAGCGGTTGTTTTTCCCAGGCAGAGTTTCTTTATGTTCAGACCAATGCCTAACTTCCTTTCTTTTAAGTTATCTGTAATAATTGGAAGAGTTTGAGAGAAGAAAATCATTCCCATAGCTGCTGAGAAGTCTCTGAATCCAGAAATCAACTTCTAGGTCTTTATTCTACCTAGGTATTTTGTTTTACAATTGTATTATATGGTTTTATATTTTATTATTGTTTCTTTCCCATGTACATTGAGAATAGTATATAAATTAACAGTAATATATGTTTTTATTCATATGTCACCCACTCTAGTAACCCACTAGAGAACATGGAATCATGCAATGATTTTGGATGATGTGATTTCAATAAGTGTTTTAAGGTTTAATACTTTAATACTGAGGATTTATACTTTTACCGGTGTTAATATTGTATTTAATGTTATGTATGCTAAATGTTTTAATCGTTTTTTATGTTATTGTGGGCATCGAATTGTGCCAATTGTAAACCACCCTGAGTCGCTCTCGGGCTGAGAATGGCGGTATATAAATATGTTTAAAAAATAAATAAATCTCCATTTCTAAGCTGAAGAGCCGGCATTGTCTGAAGACATCTCCAAGGTCACGTGGCCAGCATGACTGCATGGAGCGCCGTTACCTTCCTGTCAGAGCGGTACCTATTGATCTACTCACATTTGCATGTTTTAGAACTGCTAGGTTGGCAGAAGCTGGGGCTGACAGCAGAAGCTCACGCCGCTCCCCGGATTCAAACCTGTGACTTTCGGTCAACAAGTTTAGCAGCTCAGCACTTTAACCCACTGCGCCACCGGGGGCTCCGTTTGCAGTTGTAGTTGCTGGGATTTATAGTTCACCTAGAATCAAAGAGCATCCTGAACTCCACCAACGATGGAATTGAACCAATCTTGGCACGCAGAACTCCCATGACCAACAACAAATACTGGAAGGATTTGGTGGTCATTGACCTTGAGTTTGGGAGTCGTAGTTCACCTACATCCAGAGAGCACTGGGGACTCAAACAATGAAGGGTCTGGACCAAACTTGGCACAGGTACTCAATGCACCTAAATATGGACACTGGTGGAGTTTGGGGAAAATAGAACTTGACATTTGGGAGTTGTAGTTGCTGGGATTTATAGTTCACCTACAAAGAGCATTCTGTACCCCACCAACGATAGAATTGGGTCAAACTTCCCACACAGAAACCCCTGCCTTGAAGAGACTCACTGGTACGAGTCTTTCACCAGCCTCACATGCTCTCCCTTGCCTGCATATGCACACCATGCTGCCATGCACCAAGCACGCCTGCTCTCCCCTTCCCGCGTGGAGTCTCAGAAACAGCCCTCCCCTTGGTTGAGAGGACTGAGAGGCGAGCCAATCACAGCAGAGAAGGGCTTTTGGTGGGAGAATTCACCATCTGTTTCCAAAAACAAAGAGAAGGACAGACGGAGAAATCTTCAGCCTTCTCTGCCAAAGGGGTTCCCAAGACTACCAGAAATATATGTTTTTTGATGGTCTTTGGCAACCCCTCTGAAACCCTCTTGCGAACGCTAGGTTAAGGAACGCTGACCTAGGGGTTACTTTTCAGGCCTCTGGATCCTGAAAATGTCACCAAATAAGGCACTACAAAATGCTCTCCACAGAAGAAAAGCTACTGTTTTTTCTACACAAAAGATGGTCAGTATATCCCAGCTGTGATAAGGGTTTTCCAAGCAAAGGGAACGGCCCAACTACTCTACGCAATACCGGTTTGGATCTCAGGCTTCCCATCCCAATAGAACAAGTCCTATTGATGTTTCTCAGAAAACCATTTGCAGTTCCTAGCTGTGTTCCCTCCACAG